ATTTCTCTTTACAAGATCACTCAGCCTTTGGTTAAAGATCAAGCAGACAAGTGCCATCCAGCAGTTGTCTTTTCTTTTTTTTTTTAACTTATGACCATGGGTAAATGTTTAAGACCTTTGCTTTATTGATTGTGCATATCTGAACTGTGGTAACCAATCCATAAATATGTTTCACTGTAATCTGTTGGTATCCTTAGTATCAGATTTTTTTGTGATTTCAGAAAAGAACGTCGTAAAAACAGCCATGACTTTGATGCATGTCCTTTTAATACACCCTTGTTGAGGCTTATACGTGAATGTAAATTACAAGAAGAGATTTTACTATAATTGTGCAGTATCTAACTTAGATTTGTATAATGTACAACATTATCAATTGACAGTGTTACTGTAACTGTTTTGTAATAATTCGTTAGAGTTATGTAATCATTTGGTAGGGGTGATGTGAGGCTTTTGTACTTTGGCACAATCACAAGGATCAGTGCAATGATTAGGATAACTACTTGTTACATTTTGTATGTCTGGTGGATATGACGAGATGTAGTTTATTATTCATAAGTGTATCTTAATCACTTAATTAGTTGTATGTGTTGATCAGTGGAAAAATAAAGCTTCATGTGCGGACGTGGAAATCTTGATATTCATTGACTGGAGTCAATTTAATCTGAAGTCAGAAATGCAGGGTATTATGATACACACCACACCACAAAACGAAGTTGATGCTGATAAAAGGGTATCTTGACTGTTTCCATGATAAATTCTCAAACTGTGAAAGGTCGCAATTCCTGAGAACTGTTGTACATGTGTTACAACATATAAGCATTTTAGATGTACTACTTGATACAGAAGTCTGAAAAGTTAAGTAAGTCAAGCATTGGAACCTGATCCAGTATACGCTTTTGCTAAAGAAAATTCTGTCACATGATATGTCACCTCTCACCAGCACTGGTTTCATTGGACCCCAACCAAATCTGACTTCTGTTCGTCCTCAGGTCAGCGCGACCTTGGGGGAAGTGACCTGATGGACAGGGTGGAAGGGGAATCATCATCATCATGGCAACATGACATCAGGGAGTCAGGACCCTCGGCAAGAATCTCGTCTGTTTCTGTGACTCCAAATAAGTCTGAGGGACATTCGGTTGGTCACACTTGTTGGCAATGTGGGATAAGTTTTGACTCAAACCAAACTCTAGTAACCCATATGCAAATCAACCACCACTTGGTGTCAGGACCACAAGATAACAGGGAAGAATCTGCCAGGGAAACTTCTGATGGTGGCGCAGAGGCATCGTTAACTACATGGAGTGGCCAGTGGGACCAAGGAACGTCATCATCTGCCAATCCAGAACAGTCTGCGAAAAATGCACACAAGTGTTCTCTCTGTGGTCAAAAGTTTGGTACGCGTACAGAGCTATACTGGCACACTCGGACATGTCGGGGATCCAGTCAACGGAAAATGACATGTACGATATGTGGCCTGGTGTTGTCCAACAAGGGCAATCACGACAGGCACGTCAAAGCGATGCATAGCAGCCAGCGGGACTTTGCCTGTGCTTTGTGTGCAAAGACCTTTAAACGGAGTGACCACTTACGCGGCCACATGCAAAATATCCATCCATCTTGATAAGATAGTTTTTCTGGGAACTCATGTATATTACAAGGTTGGCTCCAAAATACGATTTAAGTGTGGACCTATTGTTTTTTTTATATATAAGATTCAACAGCAAGCATTATAGTGTTTCCCAAGACTTAAGATCAATCCCTCATGTACACAAAAGCCACCATCGACTGTCCTCTTCAATACATCCTGCTTTAATGCTTAGTAAGTGCTTCAATGTCCAAAGTCCTTTTCAGCTGAACAAAGTGTTCCACTATTATCTGAGCTGACATTTTTATATAATGGCAATATCTAAGCAACCCCAGGTCTAAGCTTTGACTTAGTCCAGAATTTCCATTGCTGAATGGTATTCCTCATTTCAACAGATCCTGGCAAATGTTTAGCCAAAAAATTGAACTTGACCTCTGTTCGTCCTCAGGTCAGCGCGACCTTGGGGGAAGTGACCTGATGGACAGGGCGGAAGGAGAATCGTTACCATGGCAACATGACATCAGGGAGTCAGGACCCCCAGCAAGAATCTCGTCTGTTTCTGTGACTCCAAATAAGTCTGGGGGACATTCGGTTGGTCACACTTGTTGGCAATGTGGGATAAGTTTTGACTCAAACCAAACTCTAGTAACCCATATGCAAATCAACCACCACTTGGTGTCAGGACAACAAGATAACAAGGAAGAATCTACCAGGGAAACTTCTGATGGTGGTGCAAAAGCAACGTTAACTACATGGAGTGGCCAGTGGGACCAAGGAACTTCATCTGTCAATCCAGAACTGTCTCCGGAAAATGCACACGTGTGTTCTCAATGTGGAGAAAAGTTCAAAACGCGTACACAGCTATACTGGCACACTCGGATATTCAAGCACCAGAAAACGACATGTACGATATGTGGCCTGGTGTTGTCCAACAAGGCCAATCATGACAGGCACGTCAAGGTGATGCATACCAGCCAGCGGGACTTTGTCTGTGCTTTGTGTGCTAGGACCTTTAAACGAAGTGACTACTTACGCGGCCACATGCAAAATGTCCATCATTCATCTTGATGAGATCGTTTTTTCCGCGAGCTCATGTGTATTACAAGCTTAGGATGGCTCCAAAACAGGGATTTAATTGTGAACCTATGAGGTTATTTTATATGTTTGTCAATAAGATTCAACAACAGGCATCTCAGTGTTTCCTAAGACTTTAGATGGGGGATTATATTTAATCAATCCCTCAGGTACGCAAAAACAGATAACATCAACTGCCCTTTCCAAGACATCCTCCGGTTTAATGCTTAGCAAGTGCTTCAATGTCCAAAGTCATTTTCAACTGAACAAAGTGTTCCACTATCATCTGAGCTGATATTGTTATACAATGGCAATATCTAAGCAACCCCAGGTCTAGGCTTTGACTTACTTCAGAATTTCCATTGCTGAATGGTATTCCTCATTTCAACAGATCCTGGGAAATGTTTGGCCAAAAACATTGAACTTGACCTCTGTTCGTCCTCAGGTCACCGCGACCTTGGGGGAAGTGACCTGATGGACAGGACAGGAGAATCATCACCATGGCAACATGACATCAGGGAGTCAGGACCCCCGGCAAGAATCTCGTCTGTTTCTGTGACTCCAAATAAGTCTGAGGGACATTCGGTTGGTCATACTTGTTGGCAATGTGGGATAAGTTTTGACTCAAATCAAATACTGGTAAACCATATGCAAATCATCCACCACTTGGTGATCGGACCACAAGATAACAAGGAAGAATCTACCAAGGAAACTTCTGATGGTGGAGCAGAGGCATCGTTAACTACATGGAGTGGCCAGTGGGACCAAGGAACCTCATCTGTCAATCCAGAACAGTCTCCGGAAAATGCACACGTGTGTTCTCACTGTGGTGAAAAGTTTGATACGAGTAAAATGCTACACAGGCACACGAGAGCCCATCACCAGAGAACAACGTGTACGATATGCGGCCTAGAGTTGTCCAACAGGTTCAATCACGACAGGCACGTCAAAATGAAGCATAGCAGCCAGCGGGACTTTGCCTGTGCTTTGTGTGCAAAGACCTTTAAACGGAGAGACCACTTAAACAGACACATGCAAAGAGCTCATTCATCTCAGTGAGATCGGTTTTCTGGGAATTCAATATGTTTCAAGGAGGACCCCAAAATGGGGACTTAAAGTGTTTCTTATATATGTGTTGATAAAAGTCAACAGCAGGCATTTCAGTGTTAACCAAGGCACTAGACTTGAGATGAGGGATTATATTTCCATGATATCTCTGATACACAAAAATATAACATCAACTGCCAATTTCAAGATATCCTGGTTTAAATACTTTGCAAGTGCACCAGTGTCCAATGTCATTTTCAGCTGAACAAACTGCTACACATTTTTACATCATCGCAATATCTAAGAAACCCCTGGTCTAAGCTTTGACTCCGTTTTACACTGTTGACTGCTCTGTGGATGCGACAAATCATGGACATATTACCAGTATTCACACGCTACACACATTATGTAAACCTGGAGTACTGTTGTGTAGAGAGATGATTTTACTTTTTCCACCGGACCTAGTCCACAATTTCCATAGCTGAATTGTATTCCTCATTAGAATGGATCCTCGGAAATGCTTGGCCAGAAATTGAACTTGACCTCTGTTCATCCTCAGGTCGTGACCTCGCGATAGTTGGCCTGGTGGAAAGGACTGGAGGAGGCACAACCCCACGGACCAGTGAACATGGCGTCACGCAGCCCGTACCGTTGTCGGTCTCTCTGAATCCTAACTATCCCATGGGACAGGAGCTCAGAAACGTGCACACCTGTAGTCAGTGTGGAGAGAAGTTCGGGTCACAAGAGGGGCTGCGTTACCATGTGCAGTACCTGTGCAACCAGGTTCCACGGACTAGTCACAATGAGCCTCCAGGCAGTACAGACAGCCAACCGCTGGACCAGTCACACATGAGACCAGGCAAAACTGCAGAAGGGACTATGTTTTATCCATGTTCGGACTGTGATCTGAACTTCCTGTCAAACGCTAGTCTCCAGTTACACATACAGACTGACCACCAGAAGGTCCACTGTACCATATGCGGGCTGAACCTGTCCTGTAAGTCCAGTCTGGAGAGACACATCAGGGGCGTACACAAAGCACTGCGAGAACACGGTTGCGGCGTCTGCGGAAAGAAATTTAAACGGAATGACCACTTACGCGGCCACATGCAAAGCGTCCATCATTCGTCTTGCTGAGATCGTTTTTCTGGGAACTCGTGTATATTACAATGATGGCTCCGAAACAGGGACTTAAGTGTGAACCCATTGGATTATTTTATATGTGTGTCGATAAGATTCAACAGCAGGCATCTCAGTGTTTCCCAAGAGTTTAAATGGGGGTCCTTTGGGGAATTATATTTCATCAATCCCTCAGGTACGCAAAAGCAGATAACATCAACTGTCCTTTTCAAGACATCCTGGTTGAAATGCTTAGCAAATGCATCGATGTCTGAAGTCATTTGGTCGCAATATCTAAGCAACCCCAGATCTAAGCTTTGACTTAGTCCAGAATTTCCATTGATGAATGGTATTCCTCATTTCAACAGATCCTGGGAAATGTTTGGGCAAAAAAAATTGAACTTGACCTCTGTTCGTCCTCAGGTCAGCGCGACCTTGGGGGAAGTGACCTGATGGACAGGGAGGAAGGAGAATCGTTACCATGGCAACATGACATCAGGGAGTCAGGACCCCCGGCAAGAATCTCGTCTGTTTCTGTGACTCCAAATAAGTCTGAGGGACATTCGGTTGGTCATACCTGCTGGCAATGTGGGCTAAATTTTGACTCAAATCAAATACTGCTAAACCATATGCAAATCATCCACCACTTGGTGATCGGACCACAAGATAACAAGGAAGAACCTGTAGGGGAAACTTCTGATGGTGGTGCAGAAGCGACGTTAATTACATGGAGTGGCCAGTGGGACCAAGGAACCTCATCTGTCAATCCAGAACTGTCTTCTGAAAATGCACACGAGTGTTCTCACTGTGGTGAAATGTTTGACACGCGTACCATGCTATACAGGCACACAAGATCCCAACACCAGAGAACAACGTGTACGATTTGCGGCCTAGAGTTGTCCAACAGGTTCAATCACGACAGGCATGTCAAGATGAAGCATAGCAGCCAACGAGACTTTGCCTGTGCTTTGTGTGCAAAGACCTTTAAACGGAGTGACCACTTAAACAGGCACATGCAAAATACTCATTCATCTTGGTGAGATCGTTTTTCTGGGAAGTCAATATGTTTCAAGGATGACCCCAAAACACCAAAACAGGGACTTAAAGTGTTTCTTACACATGTGTTGATGAAAGTCAACAGCGGGTATTACAGTGTTTCCTAAGGCACTAGACCGTTTTGACGAGGATTATACAAATGTATTCCCACCGTCCTTCTGGAACACAAAAGCACATAACATCAACTGCCCTTTTCGAGACATCCCGGTTTAGCATGTCCAATGTCATTTTCAGCTGAAACAAACTGTTTCACTATCAACTGAGCTGACATTTGTATATTATGGCAATATCTGGCAACCCCTGATCTAATCGTTGACTCTCCATTTTACATTATTGACTGTTCTGCAGATGCGACAACTCATAAAAATATAATATTACCGGTATTCACACCCTGACCCTGCACATATTATGTAAACCTGGAAGACTTGTGTAGAGATCTTTCCTTACTTTTCCACCAGACCTAGTACAAAATGTCCATTGATGAATGGTATTCCTCATTTCAACAGATCCTGGGAAATGTTTGGCCAGAAATTGAACTTGACCTCTGTTCATCCTCAGGTCGTGACCTCGCGATAGTTGGCGTGGTGGAAAGGACTGGAGGAGGCACAACCCCACGGACCGTGGAACACGGCGTCACGCAGCCTGTACCACTGTCGGTCTCTGTGAATCCTAACTATCCCATGGGACAGGAGCACACAAACGTGCACACCTGTAGTCAGTGTGGAGAGACGTTCGGGTCACAAGAGGGGCTGCGTTACCATGTGCAGTACCTGTGCAACCAGGTTCCACGGACTAGTCACAATGAGCCTCCAGGTAGTACAGACAGCCAACCGCTGGGCACACACATGCGACCTGACGAAACTGCAGAAGGGACTATGTTTCATCCATGTTCGGACTGTGATCTGACCTTCCTGTCAAACGCTAGTCTCCAGTTACACATACAGACTGACCACCAGAAGGTCCACTGTACCATATGCGGCTTGAACCTGTCCTGTAAGTCCAGTCTGGAGAGACACATCAGGGCCGTACACAAAGCGCTGCGAGAACACGGCTGCGGCGTCTGCGGAAAGAAATTTAAACGGAGGGACCACTTACAGAGACACAAGCAGAACACTGGTCACCTGCATCACGATCAGTGATGCCAGCGTCTTTCCGTGATACTTGGAAAACATCTAGAAATGTTTTCGTTTCCAAGCACGTTTGTCCCTTCATGTTGGCCATGGAATTCAAAGAAGGTACATTGGTTATAGAGTAAATGGTCGACTTGCGTAACAATATATCATATCCATGAAAAAGAACAGTTTGTTCTTTCCAGAATTGTGCTGCTTACGTGATGTGAACAATCGTTAATTGTTAAGGAGACATAACAGTTTGATCACTATTTTCAAATCAATCTTGTACATAGATTTTGAATAATGTCATGAATACATGGTCATTCGTGAATAGTTTCATCAGGTTGGTAAGGCACTAAACGAAGAGACTTTCTTTACACAACCAAGTGTTCTATTCAGCCAACTTTTCAATGACCGTCTGCCGCCTTCCTTAGGGCAACCAATTCTGACTGGTTCACATTGCGACGAAACATTGGCTGAACAAAACACTTGGTTTTGTAAAAAAAGATTCATACATAGTGATTCTTGTGATGTTTGGATGATGTGTACATAACCTGGTAAATTGTTTTTTTAAAACTCAGTGATACTGATTGTTTTTCCAAGATTCATTTGTATTTTCTGGGATATTGAACATATCGATTTTCACATTGAGTAGAATTTTATTACTAGTAGTGTCAATTTATTAATGTTATCACATTTGTGGGAGAAAGCTGCACTTACATTTATAAAGAAAATGTGTGTGACATAAAGGGTTATTGGGTGTTGTGATAAAACCATTGTAATTGGTCTGTTGTGTTACTTGAAAGTAGTAGTTACTTCAAATATAAATATGTTCAATTACAATATGCCCTGTATTTTATTTGCACTGTATTTACATGATTAGTAAAGCTAACACTATTTGTTTCACTTTTAATCATTGGGCATTCTAAATAGCAGTAGAATGATATATTCATCATGTTCCATAGTGTAGACTGACCATTGTGTAGACTATAGTTTATGTTACAAGTTCCTAGACAATGTGATTTTGCATTCAAGCAAAACTTTTCACATGATGCCCAGTATATCAGTTTTATGTATGTATATTTCCTTATGTTCTATTAAAAGGTCTTTGCACTGAATTTCCGTGGCTACGTGTGGTGTTTACTCTAAAGTTGGCGAGTTTTTCACCATATTTTTTTTATTGTCAAAGGCAGTATCTACTATCCCAAATATTGCTGCCACCATTTGTCAGCTGATTGGACTATATGGAAATACCCGTCCTAAATTGAACTTGACCTCTGTCCATCTTCAGGTCACCATGACCCAGCAGCTGCAAGTCTGATGCAAACCATGGGAGGAGGATCGTCGCTATGGCAACACAACTTCCGAGGGATGTCGATGGAGCCAGGATTATCCTCCTCGTTTGTGTCCCAGAACACGACTCAACCTGATCAAAGCCCGGGTGGATACGTCTGTGGTCAGTGTCGCCGACAGTTCCACTCCCACCAGGCGCTAGTGACCCATGTGGAGGAGGACCACCTCTCACCACCACCTCCACCACCCTCCTATCATCTGGAAGAAGTGACCAATGAAAGAGAGCCTGATGTACAGATTGAAACACCGACTGCTACGGCAAGTCAGCAACCTCCCGCAGCAGCTTCATCTTCCAGCTGCAGTGACGTGACGGATCTAGAGCAGCATCCCTGCACCCACTGTGACAGGATGTTCAAAGCCAGGGCCAGTCTCATCAACCACTTGAAGGCACAACACGAGAAGATAGCCTGTGCCATCTGCGGTCTGGAACTGTCCAACAAGTTCAGCCACGACCGGCATTTCAAGTTGAAGCACTGTGACCAGCGCGACTATGCCTGCTTCCAGTGTGGAAAAGCTTTCAAACTGAGGGACCATTTTAAGAGACACATGCAGAAATCGCACCCGGAGACTCCACCACAAATGTATATTTGAGCTGAAGAGATTTGAACCACGCACCTCGGTTTGTGAAAACTCCTGTGTTTCCGAATTTTACCTGACGGACAATATTTGTAAATAGAGGGACAGGACTGCTCCTCATTTCTTGGATCTCCTTTTGTGAAGCATCAAGACAGGAACTGTGGAGCAATTCAATATTTTATCCATAGAATTGAAATCAATGGCAGGAACCAATCGCGTTCATCCCTGGAAGACAAATTGCTAGTACTATTACTGTCTAAAGAGTAATATCAAACTTGTTGGTGATAATCATAAATATTTTCTGTTGCACAGTACTAGTGTTCCCCCAAACACTGTGTTCCAAGTGAACCATAGTCATGGATGACTATGGTCATGAATAATAGCAAAACTGTATAAACAAACAGCATATACTTTTATAGTCTTGTACATATTAACAAACACAGAAGAACAGATACATATCATTACATGTACACGAAGGTTGTAATGGAAGATCCCTTGACATAGGGATACAAGATACATACTCAATGTACACATCTGAACACAGATGCAGTGGGTGATGGTGTACAGATAATCTGCATCATGTGCAAAACAGACTTTGCTCAGACTCATATGTAACATGCGATAAGTCAACCGAAGACGTCAGAACTCAGTTTGGATTCTTTCGCCTCCAGGTCACCATAAAACGAGGACCAGTCTGCAGGAGGAGACGGGAGGAGGAGGATCATCACTATGGCAACGTGACGTCAGCAGATCCGAACCGCCTCCGTTCTTTGTTTCTGGAGGCCCGGGAGATCAGCGTTGTATTTCATGCGGGAAAACGTTTGACTCGCATCAAACTTTAGTAAGCCATGTCCAGCTTCACCACCAGTTATCTCAAGTCCCTTTGCCTAGTTACTACACAGAGATGGCGGGAGACTCTCAATCCGGTGCAACGACCTCTTCTGGGAGTGACTTTACTAGTCCATTACTACCTAGTTACCACACAGAAATGGCTGGAGACTCTCAACCTGGTGTAACAAGTATGGTAACCAAGTATGGTAACCAAGAAGGGACAGTAGAGGACCATCCAACGTTCCAGTCCCCTGTAGATGCCGCTCGGTACGCTAGGTTATATCGCCAGAAGAGAGAGTGTGCCATATGCGGCGCAGAGCTGTCCAACAAGTATAACCACGACAGGCATGTCAAGTTGAAGCATAGCGACCTCCGTGACTTCGTCTGCACCTGGTGTGGGAAGGGTTTTAAGCTGAGGGAACATCTGCAGAGACACATGCAAAAGAACCACATGCCCTCATGATGACACATCTGGTCACTGGGTTCAACGAAAACACAGAAACATAGAAATGAGCAAATTGATAAGAAATCGCTTTCTATTTGTCGTACGTTTCACTAGACCTGACCGCTTGCAATGTAATTTTTATGCACAATCGTAATACATCGTAATTATAGCTGCACTAGATGACTGTTCCTTTTGCTTTTCTTTAGTAATGAATGATTAACAAGAAAAAACGGTTGATATATATAGTGGCAAGAATGTACTTGTATTAGTTGATAAACTTATAGGTTGATGGTTACATGTTTGTACAAGCTTTGAAGCAGGTGCCGATCATAGTAACTTGATATCGTAAGAATGTGCTAGACATTCCTTTGTTACTAGTACTTATAATTCATGAATTTACTTGTTTTACGGTTGACATTTTGTAATTCAGACCTGGTAGTGCTTGTACTGTTGGCGTAGTGAAAATGTAAGACTTTCTGATGTGCTCTTTTGCCTTTCTAGTTTAGTTAGAGTAGACCAGGAGTAGTACATAGTGTCTGTATTGTAATCTCGCACCTCTACAAAGTTTTGAGTTACATATCTTACATGTGTTGATGTTTTCCCGTTTGCTCGTAGGTAATATACAAATTTTGTTCAAATATATGACTCAAGTCTTCATTGTGTGACGTTTATATATAAGAGTTTAATTGGTCTTGGCACTACATGTAGTATTGAACTTCTTCTTCACATATCATCAGGCTCACACAGTGTAGAAGATGCCATGTGCATGCAGTAACTCTAAAGTTAATACGCAATAAATGTTATAACTCATGATTGATATATACCATTAAGAAACAGTAACCTCTACATGTATGTGATTCAAAAACCATTTATCTATATGAATTGTGCAAACACTCTATATAAAAGAAAATTATTTATGGCAATCACATCGTATTTCCTTTGCCCATAGAAATGGAAGGGAGCTCCGCAGGTCCACAGCAGCCACTGCAATGGAGGGAGGTCCTCGGCACCATGCTTCCCCAGCAGTACCAACAACATGCACCAGGTGGCGCTGCTGAATCCACGTTGGACCACGACAAGCGTGGCGGCGGGAGTCTCAGCTGCAACCTGTGCGGCAGACGGTTCCTCAGGAGGCAGAACCTTGTGAACCACAAGCGGGAGGTACATGAGAAGATGAACATCGTGGTAAGACAAGTATTATACTCAGGTCACCCTAAACCCTAGGGTCGTTCAAAACTAGGGTAGCCCTATAAATTAGGGTCACCCTAAACTTGGGTCACCCTTAAATGCTCAAGCGTGCCAAATCCGTTTGGCATGAAACAATACACGTGAACATGCTAAACTTGCGTGGAATGTAGAGACTCGACATGTGTAAATCGTCATTTTCCTGTATACCTGATATTTGTTTGTAGTTTTAACCAAGAAATATGCGAAGTGAATTATTAGCCATGTTATAATACTTTATTACACACATTGGCCAAGTTTCTCTCGTCTTCAGTTTCTGACTACCACTACGTTCCCTTGGTGTATTTACAGATATGTGAGCTTTGTGGAGCCGAGGCGTGTAATAAGTACAACCTGGCCAGGCATATGAGAACCAAACACAGGTGAGCTCCAACTTAACCATCTCTTTTGCCTGGCGATGTAACCAGGCCCTTATTATGAAGAAAGGGAGAAAGAAGGGAAGTGAAGATGCTGCCCATTGTTAGCCTGGAGTCCAGCCTTGTTAGCTTTGGTCCGCTCCCAAAAAATCCGTTGGGTATTAAAATACATCAGGAGATCACACAACAGATTTACTCATATCCGCCCCTGTTCGTGTCTAGCCTCCTTTCTTCCAAGGAGGTTAAATACTTGTATTTAACCTGTACTTGTTTCTTCCTAATAAGAGCCTGGTGGCGTCCGTCGTACGATGGGTTTACGACAGCAAATTGAGGGCATTCGCGAGACAGTCGTGGATGTTTCGTAGAAAATTCAGCCGTCTTGTGACCTCTACCTTTTGTGTCTTATTGTCCAGTGGGGAGCTCGAGGGGTTGTTGAAAATTCAGATCACCGCTTGTTTTGCACAGTTCACAAACACTACAAAATGTTATGCAAAGGAATATGCTAAAATATGCTCTAAAAGTTGTTGTATATGTCATTAACATTTTTATAAGGTTCTGTTCAGAATATTTTCAGTTTTGGGGCAATAATATTAGATAGTGACCTCTAAACAAAGCTGCGCAATAACTTTTTTCTCTTTCCATCCATTCTTCCAGCGACAGCCGTAACTACACGTGTGCGTGCGGAAAGTCCTTCAAACTGCGGCACCACATGACGCGTCACATCATGAACAGGTCGTGCGTAGACCCGCCCTCAGTCCCGCCAGACACCTAATCTCCAAGCAGATCCTCGATGGCAAAATCGTATCCAGCCGGTTATGCAGTATCCAATTAGCCAAGCAATGCCAATGCCAATCGGCCTAAAAGGGGGGTATAATTGGCCAGAGGCAAATGGACCCTCTCTTGCCGACCAACTCCTCTGGCCAATTATATCTCCTTTTTAGACCGATTTCTACTATTTATTCAGCCTGCAAAGGATAGTCTCTACCAGAATAGTACCATAAATAGTAGTCTCTACCATAAATAGTAGAAATCGGCAAAGGGGGAAATCATTGGCCAGAGGAGTTGGCCGGCCATAGAGGGTCCAGCTTGCCTGCACAGAAGTCTGGTGGAGACTGCCATCGAGGCTACGAATCGCTTGTAAACCCATTAGCTCCACTAATTAAGCATTGCTATTAATAAGGAGGTTATATCTGCCCTATAACCTCCTTGCTAAGCCCATAAAGAGGGGTAACGATACCGTTTTCAAAAGAAGTGCTCCTCCCTGCATGTTCCAGTGTCAGTAGAGGCCTCGGTGGTGGCTAGACATAACATACCATGGCCACTGCATTGCCTGTTGGTTACGATTTAGCCACCAGTGATGAAGGAAAGCAAAATGGTTCCGG